TGTCTATCCAACCGTATTGTCCATAAGGCATGGGGGTTGTCCCACTCCTACACCATTTCTCTTCCTTACCCCCTACCTCTCCTCCACTCTTTCCTCTCTTCTCCCTGTGTTCTTCTTTCCCTTTTCCTTCTGAATCACTGCCCTATTATTCCAAATCTCATGGCCCACCAAGCCCTGCAAATGTTATAATACTACCACAAATGCTTCTGAGATTTGTTTTTGAAAGTTGAGTTTTTTTAAACCTGTTTTCAACCCTAACCTATGGTGTACCGGGTATTAATTTGTCAGTTTTTTTAGGCTTGGTTCACCTATATACCTTTTGTGTTTGATGCTTTCTCCATTGCTTTTTGCAGTTTGTTTGCGTTTTTCTACACGCATTTTTGACACATTTTTACCCCATTTTGCATTTTTTTTAAAGTGGATTTTTTTTGGTTGCTGGGCAGAATAAAAATGCAAAGAGCAGAACGTGACAAAAACGCACTACCGTGCATTTCAGCAGCTTTCTCCATTGAACTCTATTGTAGTAAAAATGCTTTATGCTTTTAAAAAAGTCCCTGATCTCTTCCAAAAACGCAGCAGCTCAAAAAAGCATAGATGTGAACATGTTCCATAGGAAACCATGTTAAATGGATTTCTGCAAAAAGCACAAAAAAACACAATGGGGTGAATGGAGCCTAAAAGGATAAGTTCACCTTTTAAAAAATACATGTACATATTTTTTCAGGTAAAACATGTGCATTCATTTTTTTTTTTAATTAAGAGTCTATAAATTATTGCAACCGTAACATGCAGATTGCTGGTGCAATGCCAGGCTCCTGCAAACTGTCAGTGTATTTGTCTGCCCATATCTCATATGGGCAGGGCGGACTGACCATTTGGAAACTCAGGCACTGCCCGAGGGCCCGGGGTCAGTAGGGGGCCCCATGAGATGCCCCTGGTACCTTTATCATAGGCTTTTTTGAGTTTGGGCAAGGACACAGGGGCCCCATGATCCCCTATTGCCCGGGGGCCCCATAAGTTGTCAGTCCGCCCCTGCGTATGGGCACACAGTTACTGAATCAAAAGGATCAATGAACTACCTAGAGTGCTCATCGGTGCTTTTGTAGTTCATTAAGAAATACAAGCCATCAGCCGTAATGGCTGACGATATGAATAGTTCTCCCATTCACTGAAGTCTGTGAATGAATGACGTGGCCGGGTGAGCGGACCTATGCACCACCATATTTTTTTTTTTAATTGGGACAGTGGTTTTGGGGACAAGATCCCCAGCCCACTGGTACAACAGGGGATCAGGGGCTGCTGCAACAGTAACATATTACATGTTGAATACTGTGAACCCATCATTTAACCTACATTTTGTATTTATGACATGACCTGTATTTCTCTATTTTTCATGAGCAAATATGTTTTGAGTCTCTGATGTCTTCCATTCTATATAATTTTTGTATCTAAACTTTAATAAAAATAATTGGACAAGGAAATAAAATATATAATTAAAAATAAATGGGGCAGACTGGATGGACAACCTGTTTTTTGTTCTTCTGCTGTCACTCTTCTCTGATTCAATGTTTTTATGCAAAACTTTATCCAAATTAATTTTATATAATTTTTAGTGGTATTTAATAACCGCTGGGTTTGGATTTCAATCTGTTTATTCAGTTTTACAAATGGGAGGAAACAACAGTGAAGAAAAGTGAAATGTACAATGTGAACACCATAAAAAACACAAGTTCAGCACAATAAAAAATATTTTTGGGCAATATCAGGTGAACGAGGTCCGTAGGGAGTCAAAATAGTTAAATATAAGGGCAATATTTTAATGGGGGAGGGGAGTAAAGAAAAAAAAAGGAAAACAAACACCCTTGTATGTAGACTCCAATGACAAAGTGTCCCTGATAGAGGCCAGCAGGACGGGTGCTACCATACGACTGCTTAGGCATCTGCCTTACAGCACCAGGAAAGAGAGGGGGAGAGGTTGCAAAATACCCGGCCACTTGCACAGGTGGGGCAGCTGGCTCCTCCCTTTGCATCACTCATCACTGCTTATGGGGATGTCAGTCCCCCCAGCCCGGTGGAAGGGTCCATGCCTTCCCAAGATCTGAGTCTGCTGGCAGCACTCTATTCCAGTTTTAGTGTGTAGTGGTCTGCCCGCCAGTCTGCAGGGCTAAATCCCCACAGCATTACTGTCAGTTCCTCTGCGCAGCTCCTGCCCCCTGTAGCATGCTTTTTCTTTAATCTCTTGCTCCCACTCCCTGCCTGCCTGGCTGCAAGGACGATCAGGTACACTTTTCTACCTATTTGGTGGTGCACTCAAATGGACACCTGCTCAAAGGGGTTTAGTCTGCTGGGGACAGCTGTTCTATGGGGTCACTCTGATGGGGACACCTGCTCAAAGGGGTTAATCTGCTGGGGACATCCACTCTATGGGGTCACTCTGATGGGGACACCTGCTCAAAGGGGTTAATCTGCTGGGGACATCTGCTCTATGGGGTCACTCTGATGGGGACACCTGCTCTATGAGGTCACTCTGATGGAGACACCTGCTTTTTGATGGGGTCACTCTGATGGAGACACCTGCTCTCTGATGGGGTCACTCTGATAAGGACACTTGCTCAAAGGAATCACCACTCTGATGGGAACACCTGCTCAATGGAGTCACTCTGATGGGGACACTGCTCTCTGATGGGGTCATTCTGATGGGGACACCAGTTCTATGGAATCATTCTGATAGGGACACCAGTTCTATGGAATCATTCTGATGGGGACACCAGTTCTATGGGGTCACTCTGATGGGACACCTGTTCTATGGGATCACTCTGATGGGAACACCTGCTCAATAAAGTCACTTTGATGGGGACACCTGCTCACTGGTGGGGTCATTCTGATGGAGACACTTGTTCTATGGGTTCACTCTGATAGGGACACCTGCTCTTTGTGGGGACACATGCTCTATAAGGTCACTCTAATGGGGACACTTGTTCTCTGATCAGGTCACTCTGATGGATACACCTGATCTATGGGGTCACTCTGATGGAGCCACCTGCTCTATGGGGTCAGTCTGATGGGGACACCTGCTCTATGGAGACACCTGTTGTATGGGGTTACTCTGATGGGGTATATCTGATGGGAACACCTGTTCTATGGGGCACTCTGATGGGGACACCTATTCTATGGGGTCACTCTGATTGGGACACCTGCTCTATGCAGTCACACTGATAGGGGCACCGTTCTATGGGGTTACACTGATGGGTTATCTCTGATGGGAACACCTGTGCTATGGGGTCATTCTGATAGGGACAACTTTTCTATGGGGTCACTCTGATGGGGACACTGCTCTATGGGGACATCTGTTGTATGAGGTTATTCTGATGGGGTATATCTGATGGGAACACCTGTGCTATGGGGTCACTCTGATGAGGACAACTTTTCTATGGGGCACTCTGATGGGGACACCTGTTCTTTGGAGTCACTCTGATAGGGACACCTGCTCTGAGGTTACTCTTATGGGACACAGTTCTATGGAGTTACACTGATGGGGTATCTCTGATGGGAACACCTTGCTATGGGATCATTCTGATAGGGACAACTTTTCTATGGGGTCACTCTGATGGGGACACTTGCTCTATGGGGTCACTCTGATGGGGACACTGCTCTATGGGGACATCTGTTGTATGAGGTTATTCTGATGGGGTATCTCTGATGGGAACACCTGTGTTATGGGGTCATTCTGATAGGGCCAACTTTTCTATGAGGTCACTCTGATGGGGACACTTGCTCTATGGGGTCACTCTGATGGGGACACCTGCTCTATGGGGACATCTGTTGTATGAGGTTATTCTGATGGGGTATCTCTAATGGGAACACCTGTGCTATTAGGTCACTCTGATGGGGACAACTTTTCTATGGGGCACTCTGATAGGGACACCCATTCTATGGGGGCACTCTGATGGGAACACCTGCTCTATGGGGTTACTCTGATGGGGAAATCTTATCTATGGAGGCGCTCTAATGTGGACACCTTCTTTATGGGGCACTCTGATGGGGACGCCTGAAGTAAGGGGTACTCTGATGGGGACATTTGATCTATGGGGCACTCTGATGGGGACACCTGATGTAAGAAGGTAATCTAATGGGGGCACTTGATTTATGGGGTCACTCTGATGGGAACACATGATGTAAGAGCACACTCTGATTGCGGGACCTGATGTAATGGGGGCACTCTGATGGGGGATATATACTGTTGTACTAAGTTGTGCTATGGAGATTGTACATTTCTCATTTTTTGATAGACATACAATTACTATAATCTCTGAGTTGTAGCACAAATTTTAGTGACTGGACCTCATTGAATTTGACTTCAATACCCCTACTCTAAACACAAGAACCAATATAGCCTAATAAAGTACAAATAAAGTGTATGCCATATGGGGGTTGGGAGTTGCATTGTGGAGAAGAGGAGGATGGTAGGAAGATGGTTTTGGAGGGGGCACCATATAGAACCTTTGCCTGAGTAGACAAGAAAAGTAGTCCAAAAAAGGAGTTCCAGAGTAGTGTGAAGGGTGTTCCCGAGGCCTCTTTAGTCTGTAGACAGGTATCCACTGGGTTTTTTTAATGTTTGTTATATAAAAAAAAAAAGATACTTTTTTTCTTACTTGCTGCTATAAAATATATGAAAAAATATCATAAATGTCAGGCACTGCAAACACCTACAAAATGGCCCTTTTGTGGATAATAGAAATCCCAAGGTGATTTCATCCATTGCCACATTTTTCTGAAAATAAAAAAATGAATAAAACATGATGGTATTGATGTATTTAACCCCTTGCCTACCGGGCACTTTCACCCCCTTCCTGCCCAGGGCCAATTTTCACCTTTCAGCGCTGTCACACTTTGAATGACAATTGCACTGTCATGCAACACTGTACCCATATGACATTTTTATTATTTTTTTGAGACAGATAGAGCTTTCTTTTGGTGATATTTAAACACCTCTGGGTTTTTTAATTTTTGATAAACAAACCAAAAACAACTGAAAATTTTGAAAAAAAAGTTTTTTTCTTAGTTTCTGTTATAAAATTTTGTAAATGAGTAATTTCTCTCCTTCACTGATGTGCGCTAATGAGGCTGCAGTGATGGGCACTGATAGGCTGCACTGATGGGCACTGATAGGCGGCACTGATGAGGAGGCACTGGTAGGTGGCACCGATGGGTATTGACAGGCATCACTGGTGGGCATTCACAGACATCACTGAAGGGCACTGAAAGGCAGTACTCATATATGGCACTGATAGGCAGCACTGATAGGCGGTACTGACTGGCACTGTTATGTGGCACTGACTGGAAATTTTAGGGGGCACTGATAGGCGGCACTGACTGGCACTGATAAGTGGCACTGATTGGCAGCACTCATAGGTGGCACTGACTGGCACTGATAGGTGGCACTGACTGGCACTGATAGTTGGCACTGAAAAGCAGCTCATATGGGCACTGATATGTGGCATTGATGTGCACTAATGGGCACTGACAGGTGGCATTGATGGGCAATGATAGGCATTTCTTTATTTACATGCGATCAGCTGTGATTGGACACAGCTGAACACATGACAGAATCAAAGACATCTGCTCTTTCCGCTGATCTGTGATCTTCTGTGTCCCAGGGACACAGCACACCACCGATCACCGCTCTGCACACCTGGGGGCGCGCGCGCGGGTTAGAGTGGGAAGATGTCATATGACGTCCTCCCAGAATGAGAGAACCACCTTGCACCCATCATTTCATTATATGGCAGGTGAGAGGTGGTTAAAAAAAAATGGAGCTTGGTAATGGTACACTAGATAGAGAGCATACTGAGTGAAAGGAGGAGGTGAATGGGGTGAATATACAGGTCACATACAGTATAGTAGGAGGATGGAGATGAATTGGTTAATGGTCAGATGTGAATGATAAGATCAGTGAAGGAGTTAATATACAGAGTACTGCAAAGATGAGACAAGGATATATTCCTCTTTTTTCTTTTTGTCTTTCTTTCTTTAGTCCTCTTTTCTCTCTCTCTCTCTCTCTCTCTCTTCTCTCTCTCTCATTGGATACTATACAGTTGGCCCTAGCACACATCTGTGTCTGTATTACCGTAGTGGGGACATTAGACTGTCCTTTCTTTCTTTCTTTCTTTCTTTCTCTTTCTCTCTTTCTTTTTCTCTTTCTCTTTCTCTCTCCCTTTCTTTTTTTCTTTCTCATTGGATACTATACAGTTGGCCCTAGCACACATCTGTGTCTGTATTACCGTAGTGGGGACATTAGACTGTTCTCTTTCTTTTTCTTTCTTTCTTCTTTTTCTTTCTTTCTTTTCTTTCTTTCTTTCTTTTTTTCTCTTGCTCTTTTCTCTCTCCCTTTCTTTTTTTCTTTCTCATTGGATACTATACAGTTGGCCCTAGCACACATCTGTGTCTGTATTACCGTAGTGGGGACATTAGACTGTCCTTTTTCTTTCTTTCTTTCTTTCTTTCTTTTTCTTTCTTTCTCTCTTTTTTTTTCTCTCTTTCTCTTTTTTTTTTCTCTTTCTCTTTCTCTCTCCCTTTCTTTTTTTCTTTCTCATTGGATACTATACAGTTGGCCCTAGCACACATCTGTGTCTGTATTACCGTAGTGGGGACATTAGACTGTTCTCTTTCTCTTTCTTTCTTTCTTTCTTTCTTTCTTTCTTTCTTTCTTTCTTTTTTCTTTCTTTCTTTCTTTCTTTCTTTCTTTCTTTCTCTCTTTCTCTCTCTCTCTCTCTCTTTCTTTCTTTCTTTTTCTCTTGCTCTTTCTCTCTCCCTTTCTTTTTTTCTTTCTCATTGGATACTATACAGTTGGCCCTAGCACACATCTGTGTCTGTATTACCGTAGTGGGGACATTAGACTGTACTTTCTTTCTTTTTTCTTTCTTTCTTTTTTTTTTCTTTCTTTCTTTCTCTCTTTCTCTCTCCCTTTCTTTCTTTCTCATTGGATACTATACAGTTGCCCTAGCACACATCTGTGTCTGTATTACTGTAGTGGGGACATTAGACTGTCCTTTCTTTCTTTCTTTTTCTTTCTTTCTTTCTTTTCTTTCTTTTTCTTTTCTTTTTCTTTCTTCTTTCTTCTCTCTCCACCCCCCCCCCCCCCCCCTCTCTCTCTCTCTCTCTCTCTCTCTCTCTCTCTGTTGGTCCTAGAACACATCCATGTCTGTATTACTGTAGTGGGGACATTAGACTGTCATTTCCTCGTCTTGCAGTCATGTTGCCCTGAGGTCAGTTTCAGCAGAACTCAGTCTGTGTTAAGTATGTATATTCTTCCTGAGTTGATTTCCTCCATATAGTGGCAGGTTAACTGACTTCTGACTAAACTGACCCTAGAGTGTGTAGAAGTGTGCCGGTGAACATTAGATTGTTATCTCCTCTGGGTAACAGATATGAATGGTTCTATTTAACCAGTAAAGAGCAAAGAAATGTGTGTAACAAGAAAAATAAAATCTATCTATCTATCTATCTATCTATCTATCTATCCATTTATCTCTCTATCTATCTACCTATCTATCTATCTATCTATTGTCTATCTATCTATCTATTTCCTATCTATCTATCTCATATCTATCTATCTATCTATCTCCTATCTATCTATCCATCCTGTTATCTCTATCTATCTACCTATCTATCTATCTATTGTCTATCTATCTATCTATCTATTTCCTATCTATCTATCTCATATCTATCTATCTATCTATCTATCTCCTATCTATCTATCTCATATCTACAGTATCTATCTATCTCATATCTATCTATCTATCTCATATCTATCTATCTCATATCTATCTATCTATCTATCTATCTATCTCCTATCTATCTATCTCATATCTATCTATCTCATATCTATCTATTTATCTATCTATCTATCTATCTATCTATCTATCTATCTATCTATCCATAACTCATATTCATACTCCTATGTTTAGATTAGAGATGAGCGAAGTATTGAAAATTTGATTCGGCTGATTCGGCGAAATCCAGTATGAAATTTGATTCGATGCGAATTTCTTCGCTACGAAGATGGCTTATAAAAAGGGTTTCTAGGCTTCAGAGAGCCTTTAAATTAGTGCAGAACACTGTACCTTTAATTTAAATGCCCTTGGAGATCAGGAAGGAGAAGGAGAAGGAGAAGGATGAGAAGAAGGAGAAGGAGAAGGATGAGAAGAAGGAGAAGGAGAAGGATGAGAAGAAGGAGAAGGAGAAGGATGAGAAGATGGAGAAGGAGAAGGATGAGAAGAAGGAGAAGGAGAAGGATGAGAAGAAGGAGAAGGATGAGAAGAAGGAGAAGGAGAAGGATGAGAAGAAGGAGAAGGAGAAGGATGAGGAGAAGGAGAAGGATGAGAAGAAGAAGGAGAAGGATGAGAAGAAGGAGAAGGATGAGAAGATGGAGAAGGAGAAGGATGAGAAGAAGGAGAAGGAGAAGGATGAAGAAGGAGAAGGAGAAGGATGAGAAGAAGGAGAAGGAGAAGGATGAGGAGAAGGAGAAGGATGAGAAGAAGGGGAAGGATGAGAAGAAGGAGAAGGATGAGAAGATGGAGAAGGAGAAGGATGAGAAGAAGGAGAAGGATGAGAAGAAGGAGAAGGATGAGGAGAAGGAGAAGGATGAGAAGAAGGAGAAGGATGAGAAGAAGGAGAAGGAGAAGGATGAGAAGAAGGAGAAGGATGAGAAGAAGGAGAAAGGATGAGAAGAAGGAGAAGGATGAGAAGAAGGAGAAGGATGAGAAGAAGGAGAAGGAGAAGGAGAAGGAGAAGCAGAAGGAGAAGGATGAGAAGAAGGAGAAGGATGAGAAGAGGAGAAGGATGAGAAGAAGGAGAAGGATGAGGAGAAGGAGAAGGATGAGAAGAAGGAGAAGGATGAGAAGAAGGATGAAGGAGAAGGATGAAGAAGAAGGAGAAGGATGAGAAGAAGGAGAAGGAGGAATGAGAAGAAAGAGAAGGAGAAGGATGAGAAGAAGGAGAAGGATGAGAAGAAGGAGAAGAGAAGGAGAAGGATGAGAAGAAGGAAAAGGAGAAGAAGGATGAGAAGATGAGTATGAGGAGAAGGATGAGAAGAAGGAGAAGGAGAAGGATGAGAAGAAGGAGAAGGAGAAGGATGAGAAGAAGGAGAAGGAGAAGGATGAGAAGAAGGAGAAGAATGAGAAGAAGGATGAGAAGAAGGATGAGAAGAAGGATGAGAAGAAGGAGAAGGATGAGAAGAAGGAGAAGGATGAGAAGAAGGAGAAGGATGAGAAGAAGGACAGTTCTGTGACAGTTTATGTCTATTTCTGACAGTTCTGGGACATTCACTCCATACAGCGGTTTCAACCGCTGTATGGAGGGAATGTCCCAGAACTGTCAAAAATAGACTATTTCTGACAGTTCTGGGACATTCACTCCATACAGCGGTTTCAACCGCTGTATGGAGGGAATGTCATAGAACTGTCAGAAATAGACTATTTCTAACAGTTCTGGGACATTCCTTCCATACAGCGGTTGAAACATTGTATCTATTGTTTCCATAAATGGATTCATTTATGGAAACAAATAGATACAATGTTTCAACCGCTGTATGGAAGGAATGTCCCAGAACTGTCATAAATAGTCTATTTCTGACAGTTCTATGACATTCCCTCCATACAGCGGTTTCAACCGCTGTATGGAGTGAATGTCCCATAACTGTCAGAAATAGACTATTTCTGACAGTTCTGGGACATTCACTCCATACAGCGGTTGAAACCGCTGTATGGAGGGAATATCATAGAACTGTCAGAAATAGACTATTTCTAAAGTTCTGGGACATTCCTTCCATACAGCGGTTGAAACATTGTATCTATTTGTTTCCATAAATGGATCCATTTATGGAAACAAATAGATACAATGTTTCAACCGCTGTATGGAAGGAATGTCCCAGAACTGTCAGAAAATAGTCTATTTCTGACAGTTCTGGGACATTCCCTCCATACAGCGGTTGAAAAACCGCTATCTATCTATCTATTCTATCTATCTATCATCTATCTCCTGATCTATCTATCTCATATCTATCTATCTCATAATCTATCTATTTCTATCTATTATGGGATCTATCTATCTATCTCCTATCATCTATCTCATATCTATCTATCTCATATCTATCTAATGATCTATCTAATCTATCTATCTATCTATCTATCCATAACTCATATTCATACTCCTATGTTTAGATTAGAGATGAGCGAAGTATTGAAAAATTTGATTCGGCTGATTCGGCGAATTCTTCAGTATGAAATATCGATTCGATGCGAATTTCTTCGCTACGATGATGGCTTATAAAAAGGGTTTCTCACCAGGCTTCAGAGAGCCTTTAAAATTAGTGCACAGAACACTGTACCTTTAATTTAAATGCCCTTGGAGATCAGGAAGTGAAGGAGAAGGAGAAGGATGAGAAGAAAGAGAAGGAGAAGGAGATGAGATTCAAGGAGAAGGAGAAGGATGAGGAGAAGAGAAGGATGAGAATGGATGGGAAGGAGTCCTTACTAGAAAGGAGAGGATGAGAAGATAGGAGAAGGAGAAGGAGAGAAGAGAGAAGGAGAAGGATGAGAGAAGGAGAAAGGGATGAGGAAGAAGGGATCTTGGATGAGAAAAAGGAGAAGGAGAAGGATGAGAAGAAGGAGAATCTAAGGAGGAAGGAGAGAAGGAGAA